CCTTCTGCATACCACTGTAGCAAGTATAGAGATGTTCAAAGAAACAGGGGGGATACGTATCTGGTCAATGTGTGGAAAAGCCTGAATTAAGCAAGGTTAAACCAGTTTATTTTCTGTAGGATTCACAGAACTTTTAAAATGCTAGTACATGTCATGTATATAGTATGCAGTTTTCCCTGAATATATCTGGCTAGGGAACCCTTTTCCCTCAGAATACAGTCTGGGTATATAACCCAACAGTCTCTCAACCAAAAATTAAAATGTTTAAATGGCCTGATCTTAACCCACTTTTCTTTTTCACATGCTGGCAAACTACCAATGCTTTTAGCTGCACTATTCCAATGTGGTAGCCACTAGCCATATGTGACAATTTAATTATAAATTAAAATTAAATAAAACCTAGTTCCTCAGTCACACTAGCTACATTTCAAGTCTTTCACACTTGTCTCGAGAGTCACCTGTGGCTAGTGACTTACCATATTAGCACAGTATAGAACACTTCCATCATCAGTGAACTTTCTACTGGACAGCACTGGGTTGGAGGGTTGTTTCTTTTTAAAGAGCACAGGGCCTTGCAATCTTCAGAGAAAATATATTATGAATTATTACACTTCACTGCCATTTCCCCCTCATAAAAGGGGGCTAGACAGAGATCCTTGATGACCTAAAGTTTCCCACTGTCACTATGATGTCAAGGTACAGAGAAAAGGTAAGCAACAGTGGAAAAAAATGAATAGCAAAAAGAGAAGGCAATGTTGTACAACTGGGAAATGAAGCCTGTACTGGGATTCAGGAGATAAGGGTTCTACTCCTTATTTTCCCAACGATTCATTGGGAAAAAACATTTTTTTTTTTTTTTTTAACTTAGTACTAATTAACTGTGACTTGATTAGACAAGTCTCTTCACTACTTTGGGCCTCAATTTCCTCTTCTATAAATTTAAACTGAATGATCTGTAAGAGTCCCTCTAGCTCTGCATGGTTAAAATACACAGTAGAAATGAGAAGGTGGAGAACAAAAGTAAAAATAAAAGAGCAGGATCATTGCATACTGGTGGTGGAAAATGGCACTCCTGTCAGCTGCCACAGTTCTATTCCTGAGGACAGGACTTGGATACCACCAAAGGAAGAGAGATTTAATTCAATACCTAGTGAGCAAATATCTGCAGTATCTGGAAGAACAACAACAACAACAAAAGGATTAGCCCTAAATTAAGAGTAGATATACAGAAACAACACAAGACTAACAAAACTTTATACTGAAATGCTGGTTCATTAACATGTAACAGCCTAACCAGGCCAGAACTCAGAAACATAGAAGTATCCTAAAATCTTCTTGAGGAGATACAATTAGTTATATGATATACAAATTACATATAGTATAGTCAAAATTCATACCCTATTTCTTCCACAAAAAAATATAAATAAATGCTACAAATAACTCTGGAATGGGAAGACACTGGTTTGGGCCAACCTAATTTCTCTAGAACCTACAATTAGGTACTCCTACATTTTCTGGGTTAAATACTCTTTACTTTAGTGTTACTGGAATTAAATAGACTTTCAAACTGTTGAACTAGGCAGAATAAAATGCAACTGCACACTTTCGACTTTTCAGAGGCATTACTGGCCCTATTTTCTAGGATCAAAAGAGAGAAAACCTTCCCCATCTCTATTCTAAGAACAAGACAGACAATATATAAAAAAATGACTTTCACTTCTAGATAAAAAAGAACCAAGAAAACGGTTTGATATTTTACTTTGCAGAAGCTGGCAACCAGTGAGTCGTGTAACCTCTAGAAGAATTCAAACTCATTAGTGCGGGCGAGGGTGATTATTAAAGCTTTCCAGCAAGGAAAACAGGGATAAAGGATTTTAGCGACAAGCCTTTACTTTAGAAAGGCAATTTTTAATATCCCACCTACTAATCCGATGCCAAGGACCGCGCCGCGCGGAAACCCTGCCGAATTTGAAAACAAACGTTAGTGGAGGCTCCGGGACTGTAAAAGGGGCTGGTAACTGACAGCTTGGCCTCGGAGCGAGAAGCCTCAAGTAGGTCAGACTGTGTCAACGGTCTGAAATTCAGAGTCCACCCCAGTGGGCTTAGGGGACTAGAGCAGCAGGAGGTTTGGCGTCGTTCAGTACTAAAGGGGCGGGGTATCGGAACTGAAACCTAGAACCCAAGCCCGGGGCAGTTTGCCTGCTCTCACCTCTCTTGGGGGCCTTGATCACTGGCACCCCCCCACTCCTCTCGCCGTTTTCCTGCTTGTCCTTGTGCTTGAGATCGCCCGGAAAACAGGGAGTAGGGTCACCATCCGGGCCGCGGTGGTGATGGTGCCTGTGCCGCTCCTTGTGGCCCTTATGTTTGGGCCCGGCCGCGCTCACCGTCAGGGGCGAGAAGGTGAAGAGGGCCGAGGTGCCTGGGGCCGGGAGCTGGGCAGCGACAGCAGGCCCGGCGGGTGCCAGCGAAGGTGGTGGCGGAGGCGGCAGAAGCAGAGGCTCAACAGGGCCTGGAACGGTTGGGGCTGCATTCGTTGGCGGCAGCGGCCCGGGATGTTGGCGGCTACGACGCCGCCGGTGAGGGGGCGCAAGAGGGGGGTCTTGGCTCGGCCGCCCCCGCTTCTCCTGAGACCCCCCACTGCTCGCCCGGCGCTGCCGCTTGACGCCCCGCGGCGAAGCCCCCGTATGGGGTTTCTCTTTCCCCTCTTTGTCCGGCTCCTCCGGCGCCGCCACCGCCCGTACTACGCGCACAGCTCCGACCTGCGCAGCCATTTCACCCACAAACACACATTTAAATGGCCCGACCGCCCCCCCGTCCGCGAATCGCGCAAGCGTCGTCCGCGCACGGCCCGCTGGGCATTGGAGTCTCTCCCCCGCCCTCCACTTCTCGGCTGCTCTCGGGGTTGAGCTGAACATGCCGGAAGCGGCTGTTCCTGCGTTTCTCCGCAGGCCTCTCCAACGGAGCTGCTATTGTAAAGCACCCTGGGCTGCGCAAAGCCTCATGGGAGCAGTAGTTTCCCCGCTCCTCTCGCCGCGTCCCTGGCTCTGTGAGTGGAGGATCGGAGAGGGAGCGTGCGCCGAGTCACGCTTCGGGCTGCGACGCAACCGCCACTGGGCGGCAAGTTGCCGCCAACCGCCTTAACGGCCGAAACAATATTAATGGCTTTCAGAGTCTTTCCGCGCGTACCCATTATCATCTTCCTGTGCCCCTTCGTCATTTTACACGAAGTAGGTGGTCTCCATAGTTACTTGTAATTTTCATAATTCTTATGACCTTTGTGAGGTAAAAGAATCTCCAGTCTTGACTAACAATGAAATGAAGGAGTAGTGGGAATTAAGTAATATGCAAAATCAGGGCGATTTTCCTTTAAAACATAACAGGGCTGCAGTTCAGAAATTCATGAAGATGTCTGAAGATGGTTACAACTACAGGCGTAACAAGGCAGGTGCAAAAACTGTCTGGGAGCGTAGAGCACGGCCCCACTTCGCCAGGAGTCACATCCTTCTTTCTAATGCCTATTAAGGTAGAGACCATTTATTTTGAATACATCCCTACAGTTAACAAAAACTTGATGGAAAACCATGTTTAAAAAATATTTTTTTAGGTACGATATTTTGCAATTTGGGGTATGAGGTTGCATAAATGAGAAAAAAATGTATCCATGAGAAAACACTCCAGATACCGTCATCGTTCACAAGGGATGGCTGCTGCTCAGAAATTCTTTTACAATTTGGTTGTCACTTCAGATTTTATCTAGGATTCTTTGACTATAATTTGTACATGATAAAGATACATGGAAATATTTGACTGACCATTAAGTGCTCAGCAGATAAAATTACTGTGGTTTGGTGTTATTAGTGCCTGGGTAAACATTACTTCAGCTAAGTGAACACTACTCCAATAAAGTTAGCTTAAAAATAAAAAGTTTATTGAGTACCTATTACATTCATTGTACTGCGATAGTTATGTAACAGTATTTCGTTCAATTTGCACTATCAAGATTCCTAATGAAAAATGTAGCGTAAATGATGTTTAAGTACTAGTTTCTAAAAGTTACATTTTGTTAAAAATAAAGAGAATTGTTAAGTCATTAGAGGAAGGAAGTCAGGTGAATCCTTTGTAATAATAATTACTAACTTATCTGTTATGTAAAATAGATTTGAACGATCAGATTTTCTTAAGTAAAGATCCATAATCATATAGAAATATTTTTTTAAACCAGTAATTCTTCTGTTTGATTTTATATATAAGTTGTACATGTTTTACAGGACTTTTCAAATGAAGAAAATGCTACCAAAAGATAGCTATTTCGTTGGTTATACTTCAGTAATTGGAAATTGGTATATCTAAAAACAATGATTACTGTCATATTTACATATTTTATTCCCTTAAGTAGGAGTCCCTATTTAATGGTTAATGTAGAGAGCTGAGAGGTGGAGGTTCAAGTCCACCCAGAGGTACCTCAGAAGAAAGGCCTGGCAGTCTACTTCCAAAAAATCAGCCATTGAAAACCCTGAGGAATACAGTTCTCCTCTAACACACATGAGGTCACCATGAGTTGGAGTTGACTGGACACCAACTGGCACTGGTACTGGTATTTCCTTAAATATAACTTCTCCTTTTGTTACTACTATAGTTTCCTAAACATTTGAAAAAGATGCACAAGGTATACTCCATTTAAGGCAAAAGTAACTCCTAGGGAATAATCATTGTCACGGCAGCAATTTTGTACTGCAATCACAAAGTAAGATTTTTTTTTTTTTAAACACTTCTTATGGTAAATTCTGACAATGTAAAAATATAATATGTGAAATCCAACTCTTAAAATCTTTTAAACTGTATACTGTATTTATGTAGAAAAGTAAAATAGAATTAAAAAAAGAAACCTGTTGCCATCGAGTTGATTCCGACTCATAGCAACCCTATAAGACAGAGTAGAATTGCCCCATAGTGTTTCCAAGGAGCAGCCGGTGGATTCGAATTGCTAACCTTTTGGTTAGCAGCCTGAGGTCTTAACCACTGCACCACGAGGGCTCCATAAAAATAACTTTTTTCCAAAAATGAAAAATAAATCCACTCTGTAACCGTGTTTCAAATATAGCATTCTCTGCATAAGCACAAGTGACAAACCTTTATCTGCTGTTTCCAACCCAGGGTAAATGAGATGAAAATGCAAAACTTCTGGCATTTGTTTCCATATTGCTTTTCTTTTAAAAGCTATTCAACATATTAGCATGTTTTTGTTGTTGATAATAATATAGACCACATTTATTTTAGACAGCAGTATTCTAGTAGTTTTATTTACAGATACACTTGCAGCCTTGTTATTGATGGGGCCATGGAGTCAATTCCAACTCGTAGCAACTCCACGTGACACAGGAGAACCAACCCATAGGACTTTCTTGACTGTCATCCATGCGGAAATAGATCAGCAGGTTTTTCTCCCGTGGAGCCCCGTTGGGTGGGTTTGAACTGCCAGCCTTTCCGTTAGCAGCCAAGCACGTAACTGTTGTCTGAATCCAAAGTTGAATTAAATATTCCAAGTTGGTGGTGGTTTCCTTGGTCCTTTGGGTTTTGAAAAACGATTTGCAAATCCTGGAAATAAAAATAAAATTCACTAAAAAGAGTAAGATTTTTATATAAAAATGAATTCTCGAATGTTATAATACATGTAAATATATTTTATAATGTATGTTTTATAATATATGCAAATACATGCGTTTTTTTCAAAAGGTTAGGCAGCAACTTCGATAAATGTAGTAATAGATTATAAAGGCTTTATACTAATTAATTTAAAGCTTACATTATAACAACAGAATACTAATAACATTTTAAATTTGTAGAGCACTTACAAATTTAATAATGGTAATAATTGGAAGAAGAACTCTGGTTATAAAAGCCTTTGATAATTCAGTACGGTATATACCATCATTTATCTGTGTCTTTCCACATCCACCCACCCATCAAAAAAACAAAACTGGGAAATCTCAATTTCAGAAAAATAAGCCCTATTACTTTACACAAAAAATTATTGTATTAAATCCTCTACTTTGGCCCATAAAGCCCTTAATTTACTAAGAGATTATGTTTGAAGAACTTAGAAAAAAATAATATAATAAACAATATTGAAAAATAACTGGTTAATTAATCATTTTTATTTCTTTCTCTCCCTCAAACATTCCCTCCCACAAAGAAGGAGGATAAGGACAAATTTCACAACTTACGAAGGCTTATTTCTTGGTACTTTCAAAAGATTTGCAGGTTGATGACACTGGTTCTTTTTTTTTTTTTTTTTTTTCATTATTCTCACTTTTTATTCAGAAAGGAAAACTGAAGCATTGAGAGGTTAGGGAACTTTGTGCTCAAGATCACTTAGCAAGAGACAGTTGGTATTTGAACCCATGCCTTTCTTTCTTTCTTTCTTTTTCCTATTTAGAAGTCTTTTTTTTTTTGACATTGGTTCTTTATGACTTCAGTAACATATGACTTCCTTACTTCGATGGAGGTATATTTTCAAGGTACCCTCCATACACTTAGTAATCTTATCTATTGCTGTTGAGTCGATTCCAACTCATAGCGACCCTGTAAGACAGAATAGAACTGCCCCACAGGGGTTCCAAGGCTGTAAATCTTTACAGAAGCAGACTGTTACATCTTTCTCCCTCAGAGAGGCTGGTGGTTTGAACTGCTGACCTTTCAGTTAACAGCCAGGTGCTTAGCCACTGTGCCGCCAGGGCTCCTAGTAATCTTAGAGACTCAAATTGAACAGAGGTATGAAATACAAAGAAAGAACAGAGAATGGAAAACAGAGATATTCCTAAACCATTAATTTCATCATTTTTCCAAATGTGAGTATTATCTATTTAAACAGAACTGATGTAAGGGATCAAATGAGATACTTGTTAAAAAGCATCCAGCACAACACAATGCCTGGATGTTGCATAAAACTCTTTGATGAGTAATGGGATATATGTTCACCCACCTACATTTTCCACCTTCAGGTTTCTTGGGAAGTTGCTTTCCCACTTGTAGTGTGCGCTGCCACCAGGTGAGGACCTATATAGCCGTTTGAAAAAGAAGAAACGGTGCATGTGCCGCAAATTACTGTTTTTACAGGGTGTTGTATGAGGTGTTGCATCCTGGAGGTGTGATTGTGCAAAACTTTTGTCTCTCTTGGCTTTTGTACAGCAAGATAAGCCTAGTAAGTGTATTTCTGGATTCGTGTGTGTTATTTGGAAGTTGTGTTTCTCACAGTGATTCCATGTTCACGTGAATACCTCATTTTCAGGTGCCATATATTCTATGCACCTGTCAAGGGATCTAGAAGGTGATGCAAAGTCCAGAGGGACATATGTGTCCCACATAATATTATTCAGAATCTATATTACCTACGAAAAATTCAGACACACTCAGTGATTCAGCATGCGTTCCATTAATGAAAAAACATGTAAACAAAAAATTTTTTAAATAATTTGTACATGAAAGGGTTAAATCTGAACCTACAAAGAATTATACCAGAACTAGAAGAGAAGGAAAGCAAGGAGGAAAAGAAGAGAAAGAAATCCACTACAATTAAATGTATCAATGGTGGTAATAAAAGATTTGGGGAGGGAGATGGGTACAGCGTACTTCATGTAGATTTTACTCCTCTGAGTGGTAAGAAAGAAGATGTTGTTTTGTTAGGTGCTGTTGAGTCGGTTCCAACTCATAGTGACCCTGTGTAAAACAGAACAAAACACTGCCCGGTCCTGTGCCATCCTCATGATCATTGCTATGCTTGAGCCCATTGTTGCAGCCACTGTGTCAGTCCATCTGATTGAGGGTCTTCCTCTTTTTCGCTGACCCTCTAGTTTACCAAGCATGATGTCCTTCTCCAGGGACTGGTGTCTCCTGACAACATGTCCAAAGTACATGAAACAAAGTCTCGCCATCCTTACTTCTAGGGAGCATTGTGGCTGTACGTCTTTCAAGACAGATTTGTTCATTCTTTTGGTAGTCCATAGTATATTCAATATTCTTTGTCAACACTATAATTCAAAGATGTCAATTCTTCTTCAGCCTTCCTTATTCATTGTCTAGCTTTTGCATGCAGACAGACTATTGAAAATACCATGACTTGGGTCAGACACACCTTAATCCTTAAAGTGATATGTTTGTTTTTTAATAGTTTAAAGAGGTCTTTTACAGCAGATTTGCCCAGTGCAATGTGTCATCTGATTTCTTGACTGCTGCTTCCGTGGGGATTGATTGTGGATCCAAGTAAAATGAAATCATTGACAACTTCAGTCTTTTCTCCATTTGTCATAATGTTGCTTATTGGTTCACTCGTGAGGATTTTTGTTTTCTTTATGTTGAGGTGTGAGCTACACTGAAGGCTGAAGTCTTTGATCTTCATCAGTAAGTACTTCAAGTCCTCTTCACTGTCAGCAGGCAAGGTTGTATCATCTGCATATCACAGGCTGTTAATGAATCTTCCTCCAATCCTGATGCTGTATTCTTTTTCATATAGCTTCTCTGATTATTTGCTTAGCATACGGATTAAACAAGTATGGTGAAAGAATACAACCCTGATGCACACCTTCCCTGCCTTTAAACCACGCAGTATCCCCCGTTCTGTTCGAACAGCTACCTGTTGGTCTATGTACAGGTTGCTCATGAGCACAATTAAGTGTTCGGGAATTCCCATTCTTCAAAATGTTATCCATAATTTGTTATGATCCACACAGTCAAATGCCTTTGCATAGTCAATAAAACACAAGTAGACATCTTTCTGGTATTCTCTGCTTTTGGCCAAGATCCATCTGACATCAGCAATGATATCCCTGGTTCTACGTCCTCTTGTGAATCCAGCTTGAATTTCTGGCAGTTCTCTTGTCAATGTACTGCTGCAACTGATTTTGAATGATCCTTCAGCAAAAGTTTACTTGCATATGCTATTAATGATATTCAATAATTTCTACATTCTTTTGGATCACCTTTCTTTGGAATAGGCATAAATACGGATCTCTTCTAGTCAGTTGGCCAGGTAGCTGTCTTCCAGATTTCTTTGCATAGATGAGTGAGCACTTCCAGCGCTGCATCTGTTGGTTGAAACATTTCAGTTGGTATTCCATCAATTCCTGGAGCCTTATGTTTCACCAGTGTCTTCAGTGCAGCTTGGACTTCTTCCTTCAGTACCATCGATTCTTGATCATATGCTACCTCCTGAAATGACTGAACATCGACCAATTCTTTTTGGTACAGTGACTGTGTATTCCTTCCATCGTCTTTTGATGCTTCCTGCATTGTTTAGTATTTTACCCATAGAATCCTTCAGTATTGCAGCTCGAGGCTTCAATTTTTTCTTCAGTTCTTTCAACTTGAGAAATGCCAATTATGTTCTTCCCTTTCATTTTCTACCTCAAGGTCTTTGTACATGTCTTTGTAATACTTTACTTTGTCTTCTTGAGCCACCCTTTGAAATCTTCTGTTCAGCTCTTTTACTTCATCATTTCTTCTTTTTGCTTTAGCTACTCGATGTTCAAGAGCAAGTTTCAGAGTCTCTTTTGACATCCATTTTGGTCTTTTCTTTCTTTCCTGTCTTTTCAATGATTTCTTGCTTTCTTCATGTATGATGTCCTTGATGTCATTCCACAACTCATCTGGTTTCGGTCATTGGTGTTTGATGCATCAAATCTATTCTTGAGATGGTCTCTAAATTCAGGTGGGATATACTCAGGGTCATACTTTAGCTCTCGTGGACTTGCTGTAATTTTCTTCAGCTTCAACTTGAACTTTCACAAGAGTAATTAATGGTCTGTTCCACAGTTGGCCCGGTACTTGTTCTGACTGATGATATTGAGCTTTTCTATTGTCTTTTTCCACAAATGCAGTCGATTTGATTCCTGTGTATTACATACAGCAAGGTCGACATGTATATTGCCGTTTATGTTGGTGAAAAAAGATATTTGCAATGAAGAAGTTGTTGGTCTTTCAAGAGTCTGTCATGCAATCTCCGGCATCATTTCTGTCACCCAGGCCATATTTTCCAACTACTGATCCTTCTTTGTTTCCAACTTTCACATTCCAATCACCAGTGATTATCAAATACATCTTGATTGCATGTTTGATCAGTTTCAGACTGAAGAAGTTCTTAAAAATCTTCAATTTCATCATCTTTGGCATTAGTGGTTGGTGTGTAAATTTGAATAATAGTCGTATTAATTGGTCTTCCTTGTAGGCGTATGGATATTATCCTATCGCTGACAATGTCATACTTCAGGGTAGATCTTGAAATGTTCTTTTTGACGATGAATGCAATGTCATTCCTCTTCAATTGGTCATTCCTGGCATAGTAGACCATATGATTGTCTGATTCAGAATGGCCAATATCAGTCCATTTCAGCTCACTAATGCCTGGGATTTCAATGTTTATGCATTCCATTTCAATTTTGACGATTTCCAGTTTTCCTAGATTCATACTCCATACATTCCACGTTCCAATCATTAATGGATGTTTGCAGCTATTTCTTCTAATTTTGAGTTGTGCCACATCAGCAAATGAAGGGCCCGAAAGCTTGACTCCATCCATGTCATTAAGGTCAGCTCTACTTTGAGGAGGCAGCTCTTCCCCAGTTGTATTTTGAGGGCCTTCCAACCTGAGGGGCTCAGCTTCCGGCAGTATATCAGACAGTGTTCCACTGTAATTCGTAAGGTTTTCACTGACTATTTTTTTTCAGAAGTAGACTGCTAGGTCCTTCTTCCTAGTCTGTCTTAATCTGGAAGCTCAGCTGAAACCTGTCCACCATGGTGACCCTGTTGGTATTTGAATACTGGTATCACAGCGACACGTAAGCCACCACAGTATGACAAACTAACAGACGCGTGGAGAGAAAGAAGATAAGAGGAAAGATACTTCAGGTTAAATAGTTCACACAATAGTTGCAAAATCATCCCATCAGTCCAGATGGTTTGACTGTAACCCAAATGGGCTAGGAATAGAGTAAGGATGTATTATGCAAGTACTATCTGAAATCTGAGAAATGCTTACATTTAGTCTCTTTCACTGATCACTTCTCAGTAGATTAGAGCAATAATGAGCTATCTTTTTTCCATATGGGCTAATTCAGGAAAAATAAAAATGTTTATGAAACACATTTTTTCATTCAAAATCAAAATGCGTTTTGAGTAACATATCATTATAATTTATATTACCTCGTTTATAAAAGGTAGCCAATTAAAAAATTTATGCTGCTTTTGAAGTAGGTAGAATGTTCAAATCTAGGTATATTTGGTGAGAACCAACATGAAGGCAACTCACTAATATTTCATCCTAATATTAGGTCACAGACTGTGCCTTAAAGGTAGACCATTTGTTACTCAAGTGGTATCAGTGAGTTAGAGAAAAGAAGGAAGCTGGGAACATTTGTGTTCTAGGCGGAGTTGGGTGCCTTTTTCATAGGCACACAGTATGAATTTTTTGAACTAAGTGATTTTATAAGAATCATAACTTTTTTTTAAATTATAACATTTTAAAGCTTAGCATTTATGTAATCAAAAATTCTGTGGCTCTAAAAACTGAAATCCAGAATTCTAACTAAACATTTTGCCAAGGTGAAATAGGGACCTGTCTACCAAAATCTTTCATTGTTTTTTCCTCAGGAATATAATTATATTACCTCCTGGGCAACTGGCTGCCCAGCAATATTACATTTCCCTTCAATTCCTTTACAATTTAGATACAGACACACCTCTAAGTTCTCTTAAAAGGAATGTGAGTGGAAGTGATACTGCCACTTCTAGGCCACTGCCACACTGCCTCTACCGTTTTCTTTATCTTCCTGTCAGCTGCACTGTGGATGTGGCAGGAGCCCAATTTTTACTATATAGATAAGAGCAATGCTATTAGAGCAGCATTACTCAAGGTATGGTCCAGGAACTCCAGGGGGACCCCAGATCTTTTCAAGGGGGTCTGCTTTTTGTTTAATAATGTATTTTAGTAATGATGTCCTACATTAATTGCTACACTTCTTACAACAGAATTATACTGTACTACCTTATATAGTATCAGGAATACATATCAGAATAATAGAATGCTTAAAATGATATAAAATTGGCATTTTAAGTTTATAGCTTATACTTAGTGGCAATTGGGTAAGCATTTTCTTTAATCTTTCAGAATTGTGCTCCATCTTCTGTTGAATGAGTTACACCATAACTGTTGCTGATAGCAGCAACTTATGTTCTTTTTTATCATACTTTTGTTTTTTATAACTGCTGGAGTATCACAGCATCATAGAACTTCTTCATTTAGATATTCACATTCATCTACATGCCAGCATAATAATTTGGTTGTTGTTATTTGTGTTGAGTTGGCGCCTACTCATGGTGACCTTATGTACAACAGAATGATAAATTACCTAGTCATGCACCATCTTCACGATCTTTGATATGTTTAGCCCATTGTTGTGGCTATTGTGTCAATCCATTTCATTAAGGGTCTCCTCATTTTTGCTGAACTACTTTACCAAACATGATGTCCTTTTTTTGAGGTTAGTCTCTCCTAATGACACGTCCAAAGTAAGCAGGAAGAAGATTTGTCAATCTCCCTTCTGAGAACATTCTGGTTTTATTTCTTCTAAGACTGATCATGTTTGTTCTCCTGGTAGCCCATTGTATATTCAATATTCTCTGCCAACACTACAATTCACATGCGTCAGTTCTTCTTCTGTCTTCTTTTTTCATTGTCCAGCTTTTGCATGCATATGAGATGATTGAAAAGACCATAGTTTGAGTCAGGGACACCTTAGTCATCAGAATGACAGCTTTGCTTTTTAGTACTTTAAGAAGGTTTTTTGCAGCAGAAAAAAATTGAAGTTGTCTAAGATTTCATCCTACTTGGATCAACAGTAAGGATCCTTGGTGGCACAGTGGTTAAGCACTCAGCTGCTAACCAGAAGGTTGGCAGTTCAAACCCACTAGCCACTCCAGGAGAGAAACGTGGCAGTCTGCCTCCGTAAAGACTGCAGCCTTGGAAGCCCTATGGGGGCAATGGTTTATGGGATCAACAATCAATGAAGTCAAATGAGGTATTGCATTGGGCAAATATACTGCAAAAGATCTTAATAATTTGATTATCTAGTTTTATTTTCCACATATGTTAGGCAGTTCAGTCCTATGTGAGATGTTAAGAGGTAGCTGAGGTCAAATTGCATGGAAAAGAATATAAACATAACAAACTATACATGCAACTCTAAATCATTTATATTTGTATCTCTTATACTGTAAACAAATAATTTAAATAAACATTTTTTTAACTGCTGCAAAATGACACACATACCAAAATTCAGAAAGGAGCTGGAGTTATTTGACTGAACAGATTCCGCAGGTTTGCTTGGTGGGGAAGAATTACAGATACCTAGAATCAAAAGAAAAAAACTTAAATAAATTTTTGTATGAGAGACTAACTTGAATTGTAAACTTTCACTTAAACTACAACAATAAAAAAGAAAAAAACCTTAGGGGAAGAATGAAGACAGGGTCCGATTACTACTGATCAGATCACACAATTATTGACATTAAACATTTCCTCCAGGGTAATTAATACCCCCAAATAAATACATCACTATTAAATGTAACAAAATGTAAGTGCTTAAAAAAGAATTGAAACTTTATAATCTTCTCATTTGTGGGTTTTTTTTTAACGGTTTCTTTTCTTTGCAAATAGATTGTATAATAAAGCCTAACACCAGGAATAAGATCCATTATATCATGAATCAACTTATTTTGGGATTCATATTTTGGCTTTGGACTACATCCTATTTTGCACTCCAACCACTCTTAGTACACTTCTAAACCATTTGTTCTCCACATTCATTAATCCATGGGCTCGTGAAGATTTTTCTTACGCTGTCCTCTACTCCTGGAATATCTTCCTTCACTCCACTTTCCAGCCTACACTTCTCCCATTATAGATGGTTCTAAGTTAGGCCCATAATCTCCCAGGAGCATTGTTCTGTTGCTTTGTTTTGCTGTTTTAGCTGCTTATATATAGGCTTGAAGATATTTTTTTTCTTCTCAGTACTTTAATGTACTCATATATCAGTTTCTGCTCAATTTTGAAAACAATACAGTGAGAACTTAGTTCACATTTTGCACATGCTCTACCTAGCAATGAAAACAGATAATTATACGTTTATATAAACTTTCTAAGAAACAGCATGTAAATGGGGAGAAATTATTAAATATTTCCTTTTTTGGTTTTTAACATTTTCAGAAGGCAGTATGAGGACTGTTCGTGTGTTGCACGTGTGTTGTATGCATAACCAAACACACAGGCTCCTGGTACTAGAATTCTAGAAACTCACTCTTCTACCTTCTTGGAATGACTAGAGCACAAGGTGAATTTCAATCAGATTCAATTAAAGTATGTATTTATTGAATACCTACTATGTGCCAAGCATTGGGCTAGGCATTGAGGATCCCACTGCCATCAAGTAGATTCTGACTCATAGGGACCCTATAGGACAGAGTAGCCCCAGAGGGTTTCCAAGGCTGTAAACTTTTACAGAAGCAGACTGCCACATCTTTCTCCCAGAGTGGCTGGTGGGTTCGAACCGCCAACCTTTCGGATGGCAGCCGAGCGCTTTAACCACTGCGCAACCAGAGCTCCTCACATTGAAGACAGAGACATGAGTAAGAAGTGGGTAGAGGTGAAAAAGTTCAGGAGATATCAGTCATTTCTATATTACATTTCCCTCGGGGGGAAAAATTACCCCAAAATGGAGTATTGGCTTTTGTACAAAACGAGGCAAAGATTCAGTACCTACATAGCAGAGGAAACTGCTGTTTTGCATATTGGCTTATCATAGATATTTTTATTTGACTGCTCAGCATACATTCCCCTTTCTTCTGAAAATAGAGCTTGAATTCTCCTCTAGGAAAACGCTCCTCCCCAGTTCTCAGTTTCCATGCTTCCAGTGGAGCTGATTTTACCATAAGATCAAGGACCTATGACTAGGGCTGATTTTCAGTTGGTACATTGACATGGTCATCAGTTGTTTAGGACCGACCTTAATAATTCTTGAGTAGGAGGTATAGCATTGTCCTGCTTAATCAGAGCATTGAATACACTGGCAATAAATTAGTCCAGGGATGGGCAAATGAACCAAGCCAAGACAATCAGGCCCAGTCAGCGCTAGTCATGGGACTTTTGCTTGAACAACCAGAAAAGGGTTACTTTTTTCCATTATAAGACTGAAACTACATGGCAAAAACTTGCCTATGAATGAATCAACACAGAGTGAAACAAAGCCAGGAGATATTGAAGAAGAAATTAGGTCCTGATTACATCATTCAAATCCTTGTTTACAAACCAACAAATTCCCCTTTACTGCTTAAGCCATTTTACATTTCCTCCTAAAGTTAGCATCTTGACTGACAGCTTCTACTTGTGTTACCCTATAATTTATTCTCCACAGAGCAGCCAGAATATGGTCTACGACTTCCCATTACATTTGGAATAAACTGTAAACTGCTTAACATGACCCATAAGGATCTAACTACTCCCTCTCCCCCTCCCCCATCTTTTCAGTCTCTGCTCTTTACTTACTACCCTGCAGCTACAGTGACTTCCTTTGAGTTCCTGTAACATACCGTTAAGGTTTGGATTGTGTCCCCCAGAAATATGTATTGTAAATCCTAACCTTATACCTGTGTTTATAATCCCATTTAGGAATTGGTTGTCTTTGTTATGCTAATGAGAGAGGATTAGTGTAGGGTATTTTAAGTCAATCTCTTTTGATACATAAAAGAGATTAAACAAGCTAGCAAATGGAGATGGCAGAAGAGAGATGCCAAGCCACATGAAGATTGCCCAGGAGCAGAAGCTCAAAAGAGACAAGGACCTTCCTCCAGAGCCGACAGAGAGAGAGGGCCTTCCCCTAGAATCAGCACCCTGAATTCGGACTTCTAGCCTCCTAACTGTGAGAAAAAAAAATTCTGGTTGTTAAAGTCACCCACTTGTGATATTTCTGTTATAGCAACACTAGATAACTAAGACACATACTAAACTCTCTCACACCTCAGAGCTTTTATATATGTTGTTCCCTCTATCTGGAGTGCTCTTCTCCCCACTCTTCACCTAGCTGGCTCTCCTTTCATGCCCCAGGATTGTCACTTCCTTAGCGAGGACTTCCTGGACCACTTGTTCTAAAGTGGGTCCTCTTTGTTATTCTCTCTCATGACTACCCTCTTGATTTCCTTAATAGGAACGTATATATTTGTGAATTTACTTGTTACTGTCTGAATGTCTCCCTAGGCTCAAGCTCCGCAAAGTCAGGGCCCATGTCCATTCTGTTCAACATCATATACCCAGTGCCTTGCAGAATGCCTGGCCCTTAGAAGGCACTCAATGAATATTTATTGAATGAATGAGTGACATTAGCTGGGCCTAGATGCTAGTATAAAATAACAGATGAAGAACCCTGATTTCATAAAAAGTAAGGCCACTTTATCTACAGACCAAGTTACAGGGATTCATGCTAAAAGGAGTCCCAAGGTGGCACAAACAGTTATGCACTAGAGTACTAGCCAAAAGGTTGATAGTTCAAACCCACCCAGAGGTACCTTGGAAGACAGGCCTGGCCACCTGCTTCCAAAAGGTCACAGCCTTGAAAACCCTATGGAGCAGTTCTACTCTGCACACGTGGGGTCACCATGAGTCGGAATTGACTCAACGGTAACTAAACAACAGGCTGAAAGAATGTACAGAATTATAGAGCCATCTAGAGGGGGCAGAAGACACATATGCAAATACAGGCATATCAAGGTCAATTGTGGGGGCCTGTTATTTTTCTTCATGTAAGGACATAGGACCAAAGGATCAAGGAGGCTGAGAAATAGCAGTATAGTACTGCCTATATCCAGAAAACGACCTGGGGGCTCTTATCTAGAGAAAGATTGGGAGTCTCTGAGAGTCCCACCATCTCTCGAAGCTGTGCCAACCTAAGTCTACCTGGAATTTCTGTATCTCTCTTAGACATCCTCAAGACAGGGTTGGAGCTAGAGAAAGAAAACCAGGTGTTTTCATAAGCGAAACTGGTCAAACCAATCTTTCACTTGCTACTAAAGTCACTCATTTTGTTGTTGTTGTTTGTTTTTGGCTGTTTTATTTCCCATGCTTTCTACTGTAATTTCCTTTTGAAATATTTAAATTCTATTTTTACCCACCTTAGAGGAAAGGACATATTTTCCACCCATACTTTATCATCATATGTAAGGAATTATTACATTTCAGAGATTAGAGATGGCAGACTAGCTCAAGAATCAGGAGTTTATGCATAGGGAGAAAGAGTGAAAACACAGAAGAAAAGAGAAAGATTCATCTGTAAACCTTCTTACTTAGGCTATGCATTAAGTCAAGTTTTCTCAGTGCTCTTTGTCCTTCCCTGTAAACCAAAACCCAAACCCTTGCCATCAACTCAATTCTGACTCATAGTGACCTATGGGTTTCCAAGGAGCCCTATAGTGTTTCCAAGGAACAGGTGATGGATTTGAACTGCCGACCTTTTAGTTAGCAGCCGAGCTCTTAACTCCTGCACCCGGTAATACAAAATGCCTTTTGGGTCCTTCATGATTAGCCAAATGGCTCAAATTTGTGAAAAGTATATCGCCATATTTTATGTGCTTTGTAGTTGTAAGTAAGGATTTCTAAGATAATTTCCCAGTCTCAGGAGTCTATGGCTTTTATTTTCACTACAATATAGCAAAAATAGTAAGCAACAGACTTTTATTGCTAATAATATTATACTTGGTACAAATTGAAACATGTCAATGCTTTGCTTATTTCATAAAATCAACACATTTGTTTCACAATATGCTTTGCTGTGACCGTTTTCCAAGAAAATACATCTGAGGTTAGACTGTTGGGAATTTTAAATAGCACACTTGAATGACAGCATTTAGGATGGGTAGAAATTGCCAAACATCGTACTGGTTATTATTCCTGTCTATTAAACAGAAAACTTTCCCTCTCCTTACTCTGTGCCCAGTATTAACATCGTGGAGCCCAGCAAGCTACAAGGCCTTAGGGAGGATCTGTTAAGGAATAATACTATTAATTTTTGCACAGGATGCTTATATAAGGAAAAATTACATAATCACGAAAGTGGTATGTATATTCAAAAAAATAAGTATAAAAAACTTACTTTTTTTCATATTCCGTAAAATTTTCAAACTCTACAAAAATGAAGAAAAAGAAAATGTTAGTTTTTCCTATGAAATCCAAAATATTTTCATGAAATAGAAATATAGACCTCAGCCAAAAAGATAAGCTTCCTAAAATAGCCATGAAAATGAACAAATTATTTTTTTATCTTGCCTTTTTAGTTCAATGAAGAGTCTCTCCTTGATCTTATCTTGTTATTTTTCCCCACCCCAAAATTTTACATACTTAGAAATAGTGCTATCAGAATATCAGGGGAAAAAATTAAGTTCCTACTTCTCTTCTTTATTAGGAGCTTTCCAGAACCCACAATAACTTCTGACAGTAGCTGTGATACATAGCCATTCCCATTCTAGCCAAAAATTTCTACCAATCATACTCTGTACTCAGTTTACTAAGACTGGCTTCCATACTGTTAGCCATGCTACTTCTCCCTTCTTTTAGCAGACCCATGTCCTCTGCCTCCTTTATGGTGGAGTCTCAAACTTATCTCTTCTGGAAACCTACACAAATTTTTTCTTTATTCAGTATTTCCTCAGCATGTATGTTTTTAATCTGTTCCATTCGTGTTTTATTCTCCTTGATAATTCGCATGTTGTTTCCCATATAGGTATTCTGTTCCACCAGATTAACTATAGTCTTTTCAAGGGCAGGTAGATGTCCTCCATGACATTTCTATCTTCCTAACATCTAACAGAAATGTGCTTTTCTACATAGTATATGGAGCCCTGGTGGCGCAGTGGTTAGGAGTTCGGCTGCTAACCAAAAAGTTGGCTACTAACCAAAAAGTTGGCAGTTTGAATCCACCAGCCACTCCTTGGAAACTCTATGGGGCAGTTCCACTCTGTCCTACAGGATCACTATGAGTCCAAATTGACTCGACAGCAGTGGGTTTGGTTTATATATGTATATATAAAGAGTAGATATCTTTTTTTGAAAAATTTTATTATATTTTAAAATAGATTATATATAATTCAAAATTAGAAAGTATAAAGGGAATATAGTTAAATTTAACCCTTCCATGCTTGTTCCCCATCTACCTAGTGTCTAACCTACCCCTATAGAGAACTGCTGCTGTTAGTTTCTTATTCTAGAGTTAATTATGAATATATAAATAAATAAAATATATGTATATTTAGCCCTTTTAAGTAAAAGTTAATAAATTATATATAAAGACATCAAGAGTCCTCATTTTATTTTCAGCTTTGTAGTATTCCGTTGTATGGATGTGCCATGATTTATGGTTTATTTAATGAGTTCCTCTAATGATTAACATTTGTGTTATTTCCAGTTGTCTGCTCTTAAAAGTAATGCTGCAGAGTCTAACCTCGTAGCATATTTGTAGGATAAATTCCTAGAAGTGAAACTGTTGGTTCAAAGGATATGTGCATTTGTAATTCTGATTAAAAAAAACAAAAGCAAACCCATTGCTGTCAAGTCGAGTCCAACTCATAGCAACCCTATAGGACAGAGTAGAACTGCTTCATAGAGTTTCCAAGGAGCAACTGGTGGATTCAAACTGCCAACCTTTTGGTTAGCAGCTGTAGCCCTTAACCACTACGCCACCAGGGTTGACAATGCTAAATTGTCCTCCTCTATAGAAGTTGTATCATTTGACATCCCCACCAGCAATGTAGGAGTGTGTAATAGTGTATAATCAAACTTTTTGAATTTGCCAATCTGATCAATGAAAAATAGTATGTTACTATGATTTTAGTTTGCACTTCTCTTATTATGAGTGAAGCTGAACATATCAGGTGTTTAAAGGCTAGACCATGTGTGTTTATTTTTCTTTGAACTATCTGATCTTGTATTTTGCCCATTTTTCTTTTAGGTTATTCTGTGAATTTCTAGACATTCTTTATATGCTAGAGAAATAACCTCTTTGGATATGATGCCAGTTGTAAATACTTTTTTCCAATTTGTTCTTTATCTTTGATTTTTAAGGTTTTTTTTTTTTTTTTGGCCTTGCAGAATTTCTGTTTAGTAATTTAACTAAATACATATAAATCTTTTTTCTTATAGCTTCTGGATTTTGAGTCAAATTATAAAAGTCACTCCCACTCCCAAGTTATAAAGGAATCTTCCAAGTTTTTTTTTTTTTTTTTTTTTTTT